GATGAAGATGAGGAGAAGGAGGAGAAGGAGGAAGATGAGGAAGATGAGGAGGAGGAGGAGGAGGAGGAGGAAAGGAGGAAGATGATGCTGAGGAGGAGGAGGTGGAGGAGGAGGAGGAGGAGGAGGAAAGGAGGAAGATGATGGAGGAGGAGGAGGAGGATGGTGAGGAGGAGGAGGAGGAGGAGGAGGAAAGGAGGAAGATGATGGTGAGGAGGAAGATGATGATGGTGAGGAGGATGATGATGATGGTGAGGAGGATGATGATGGTGAGGAGAAGGAAAGGAGGAAGATGATGGAGGAGGAAGGCAAGGAGGAGGAGGATGGTGAGGAGGAAGGCAAGGAGGAGGAAGGCAAGGAGGAGGAGGATGGTGAGGAGGAAGGCAAGGAGGATGATGATGGTGAGGAGGAGGAGGAGGAGGAGAAGGAAAGGAGGAAGATGATGGAAGAGGAAGGCAAGGAGGAGGAGGATGGTGAGGAGGAGGAGGATGGTGAGGAGGAAGGCACGCACTGCGCGGCGCCAGGCGGTCGATGTAGGTCAGCAGCTGCGACTTGGCCACGCCCGGGTCCCCCATCAGGCAGATGTTGATGTTCCCTGGGGAAAAAACAACAGATTTAGGGAAAAAACCCAAATTTAGGGAAAAAACCCACAAATTTAGGGGAAAAAAACAGATTTAGGGAAAAAAACCCAAATTTAGGGAAAAAACCCAAATTTAGGGGAAAAAAACAGATTTAGGGAAAAAAACCCAAATTTAGGGAAAAAAAACCCACAAATTTAAGGGGAAAAAAACTCCAAATTTAGGGAAAAAACACCAAATTTAGGGGAAAAAACAGATTTAGGGAAAAAACCCCAAATTTAGGGAAAAACCCCACAAATTTAGGGAAAAAACCCACAAATTTAGGGGGAAAAAACCTCCAAATTTAGGGAAAAAACACCAAATTTAGGGGAAAAAACAGATTTAGGGGAAAAACCCCAAATTTAGGGAAAAAAACCCAAATTTAGGGGAAAAAACAGATTTAGGGGAAAAACCCCAAATTTAGGGAAAAACCCCACAAATTTAGGGAAAAAACCCACAAATTTAGGGGGAAAAAAACACCAAATTTAGGGAAAAAACACCAAATTTAGGGGAAAAAACAGATTTAGGGGAAAAACCCCAAATTTAGGGAAAAAACCCCAAATTTAGGGGAAAAAACAGATTTAGGGGAAAAAAACCCCAAATTTGGGGAAAAAACAACCAAATTTATGGAAAAAAACCCCAAATTTAGGGAAGAAACCCCCAGATTTAGGGGAAACACAACCATATTTAGGGAAAAAAAACCCAAATGTAGGGAAAAAAAAACAGATTTAGGGAAAAGCCCCAAATTTAGGGAAAAAATCCCAAATCTAGGGAAAAAAATCCAAATTTAGGGATAAAACCCCAAATTTAGGAAAAAACCCCACAAATTTAGAGAAAAAAAACCCAAATTTAGGTAAAAAAAAACCCAAATTCAGGTAAAAGAACTCCAAATTTAGGAAAAAAACCCACAAATTTAGGGAAAAAAACCAACAGATTTAGGGAAAAAATGGGGGAAAACAGATTTAGGGGAAAAAAATGGATTTGGGGCTGGAAATGGGGTAAAAAACCAAAGATTTGGAGCAGCCCTGGGAAATTCTGGGGTGGGGGAAATGGGGGAAAAAGGGGAAAAGGGGGAAAAAAAGGGAAAAAAAGGGGGAAAAGGGGAAAAAAAGGGGAAAAAAAGGGGGAAAAGGGGAAAAAAAGGGGGAAAAAAGGGGAAAAAAAGGGGGAAAAGGGGAAAAAAAGGGGGAAAAAAGGGGAAAAAAAGGGGTGGGGGAAAGGATTTCTCAGGATTTTCCTGGGATATTTCCCTGTGATTTTCCCCTGCTTTTCCCAGGAATTTTCCGTTATTTTCCAGGATTTTCCTCATGCTTTTCCCAGGATTTCCCCGTGAATTTTCTGGGATATTTCCTGTGCTTTCCCCCTGATATTCCCGTGCTTTTCTCAGGATATTTCCCGCGATTTTCCCAGGATATTCCCGGGATTTCCCTGAGATTTCCTCGATATTCCCATGTTTTCCCGTGATTTTCCCAGCGTATTTCCCGTGTTTTTCCCAGAATTTCCCAGGATATTCCTGTGATTTCCCCCAGGATTTTTCTGGGATATTTCCTGTGCTTTCCCCCTGGTATTAGTGTGATTTTCCCAGGATATTTCCCGATATTCCTGCGATTTTTCCTGGGATATTTCCCCTGATATTCCCGTCTTTTTCCCAGGATTTCCCAGGATATTCCCGGGATTTCCCCGTGATTTTCCCGGGATACTTCCTGTGTTTTCCCTGGGGTTTCCCAGGATATTCCTGGGATTTCCACGTGATATTCCCATGATTTTCCCAGGATATTTCCCATGCTTTCCCCCTGATTTTCCCGTGATTTTCCCAGGATATTCCCGGGATTTCCACGAGATTTTTCCCGTGATTTTCCCAGGATATTCCCCCCTGATTTTCCCGTGATTTTCCCAGCATATTTCCCGTGTTTTTCCCAGGATTTCCCAGGACATTCTCGGGATTTCCCCGATTTTCCTGTGATTTTCCCGGGCTATTTCCCGTGCCTTCCCCCCGATATTCCCATGATTTTCCCGGGCTATTTCCCGTGCCTTCCCCCCGATTTTCCCGGGATTTTCCCGGGATTTCCCCCCGATTTTCCCGGGATTTCCGCACCGCGGATGCGCATCCCGCGGGGGCTCCTCTCCACGCCCCCCACCAGCAGCAGCAGCAGCGATTTCTTCACGTCCTCGTGGCCGAAGATCTCGGGGGCGATGGAGGCCGCCAGCTTCCCATAGAAATCCTCCCCTGGAACGGGAAAACATCGGGAATTCCGTTCTAAATACCCCAAAATCGGCTCAGGGACCCCAAAAATGGCTCAAATGGCCCCAAAAATGGCTGAAATGGCCCCAAAAATGGCTGAAATGGCCCCAAAATTCACTGGAATTGCCAAGGGGAGGCCGTAGAAATCCTCCCCTGGAACGGGAAAACATCGGGAATTCCGGGATCAGGGACCCCAAAATCGGCTCAGGGAC